TTTGTCTGTATTCTGTGAGGTGGACATGATTTAGTGACCAAATCAGAAAAACCTCTGTTCTCGTTAGCTTTGCAGAGCCAGCACAACAATGCAAGACTAACAACTGATCGTTGTTATTTTTATGCATCATTGACACTATTTTTCTGTTTGGACTGATGTGGTTATGTGTGAAGTCGCACAAGTGATTCCGAGGCAATACAGATCTCTGTGGTGTGAGTGCAGCAGTACTGTGGCTGGGCAGGCACAACCAAGACACGGCTGGGCTACCACAGCTTTGATTAATGATGGTGGTGTCAGTGAGAGAGCACAGCTCAGGGGGAAGATCGGTGTTAGATTGGGGTCGGCAGTTTGAGTGACAGCTTTTTGCCTATTAAGGCTAAGCAGCGAGCATAAATAGGGAAATCCATTGTGCTGTTTTTATTAAGTATTAATATTGCAGTACAACTGCTCTTTCATTTTCTACAGCAGAAGTAAAACAAATTATTTTTTAACTTCTCTATGAATATGCAGAGACTGTAGAGCGTGAAGCTGCAGTATCAAGATTCAGTAGCAGAGATTCGTGTGTCCAGTTCGGTTTTGGGGTTTGTATGAACTGTTTTCCGAAAGGTCTTTACTCTCCTGCATAAAACCTTTTCTACAAACGGTTTGCACAAGAACATGTATATCAGGGGGTCCATGCAGACGTTTGTGGCAGCCAGCCACAGAGTGCTTTCTTTTGCGACAAAGAGCTGGTTCTGCAGACGGCAGTCCATTCGGGTGGTCATTTGACTCAGAGTATAGGGAACCCTGCTAAAATGAAAGGGGGCAAAGCACAAGAAAAACACAGTAAAAATGATGAATACTTTCCCCTTGATCCTTTGTTTGCTTCTGTTGTCTTTCTTCTGTGTTTTTATATAAGACTCATATACCTTTTTGGCAATAATTACATAAAATAGAAGCATGAGGATGAGAACAGTCCAGAAGACAAACTGACAGATGTAATTGACAGCTTCATGCCATTTGAGTCCGAAGTAATTCTTCAACGAGGCACATTTCTTCACAGACTGGGGTGTTGCTTTCTTGTTCGATAAGATCATGTTAGGCAGAGAGAGAACAAAGAAGAAGAGCCAGACCAGACCCGCAAGGATCTTTGCTGAGGTCAGGTTTTGCACCCAGAACTTCCCAAAAGGTCTCACAATCTTGAGAAATCTGTCAAAAGCAATGAGACCAAGTAGCACTATGCTAATATACATGGTGTCATAAAATACTACGGCTGAGAAGCGACAGACAAAGGCTTTGAGTTGCCATGGTCCCAGGCCAGAGTCCGTCAGGATTTTCAGGGGAAGCATCAGGGTCATTATGAAATCGGAAACTAAGATATTTTTCAGGTAGATAATGAAAGTTGATGTGCTTGGAATGTGGAAGAAAGCCCAAAAAGCTAGGCTGTTGAGTACGAGTCCCAGAAGGAAGACGAGTGTATACAGTGCTGGGAAGACCAGGTGGGTGACTGTGGTGTCTCGGTGGCACGGTGCGGAGGAGGGTGCTCCACTGGAGTTACTGACAATACTCTCGTTTGCAAAGTCTCCCATTGTTTGAAATAGACTTGGGTGAAAAGGAGAGAGAAAACATAACATTCTGTATTTGAAATTACATGTTCATTACAGAGACTGGCACGTTTACACAAACAAACACAAAACCTGAATGTGCATTAAATAGACCGATTTCTCTTCTAGTTCATAGAAAATCTATATCTTTGCCTAAGTTTAAGTTGTTTACAAACTAACGTCTAATGAAAAGTTAAAATGGTATATATTGATTATGGAGGCCTAAGATAATATAATAGCAAGGTATAACAGCAGATTGGCTAGAGCACCTTTACATGGAAATATATTTTATGTATTTTATTTTAAATGTATTTTAACATTGAATAGAAATTTTACAGTTCTGGCCCAAAAGCAAGGCGCTTCTGGGGAAGCGACTTCTGGTATTTCTTATCAAGCACACACCATTTTTCCTTTCTCAGCACAGATTTAAATAACATTTTCAAGATAAGATGCACACTGCTAGTTATCAGTCTCTTACATCTGAAAGCCAGATGACCGAGTGCCCCATCACATCACGTGAACGCTCCGATCGTGCAAGTACCTGAGCAAACCTGGCAGCAACTGTTTCAGAGAGGGGTCTTTGGCTATCTCCGGTTCATCTGCTGTTCCTCTGCTGACAGAAGCCTCCAGCAAAGTATTAGGAACGGGGAAATGTGTAGAAAGATGAGACTTTTTCTGTTGGTGTGGTGTGTTGTTTCCTTCCTCATTTTCGTGTATTGCCCGAGTTAGTTAATCACATTTGCTGTTGCTTTTCTCTCTTTCTTTTGCTCTCTGTCAGAAAGTACACTACCTTCTCCTATACTAATAAAAAAAAAATGGCCATATCCATCAAGACAGGCACATTTTCCGGCTTTTCGTTTGTGTGGGGCAGACCTGATGGCACCTACACTGTGCCATTACGATCTGGCTCCTTTAGAGACGTGGGATGAGCAACCACAGAATGTTTCCTGACAGTTTTGCAGGATAATTCTCAAACTCAGCTCTGAGTTCTTGTTTGTGTGTGTGAATTCCGCTGTTCTGGACAGCACTAGTCGTCGTCAGATGCGTGACCAGAAAGTCTGCTCAGAGCCACCCTTACAATGGGTTACTCAGCTACAAAATCATGTGCACTGACATATTCAGAAACTGTACCCTCCCTCTGTAGCCTGTTAATATTGACAGATGAACCTGAGCTTGACTTTTGATCTCCAGAATGGGATTTCTGGTTTATTTTGGTGTCAGTGTAGCCAGGAGATAGAGCGTGCTGGTTACAGCCACTTTCTGGTTCTGGCAGAAGCTGCTGCCGCTGCATGGTATGCTTTGTGTTTATTATGCGTTTATTACGTATAATGTTGGAATCTAGTGCATTTCTCTGTAAACAGAACTTCTAGTATAAGTTTAACTGAGTAATGTGATTTGTCCTGTATTTGCCTGTCAACTGATGTGACTTAGGGTTCTGGCTCCTTGCTTGCTGCCATACGGGAAATGGCTCACATTCAAGCCATCCTTTTGTGGGCAGACATGGATTGCTTTTTGAGGTTCTCAGGCTGCAGCTGTATTGACAGTAAGTTTGTATCTACATTTTGGTTAATGTAGGTGTGCATGCTGATGTCGGTGTTAAATGGCTGGCAGAGAGCAAAGAGCCTTGAGGCTGACTGGGATGAAGGTCACACTTGCCATTGTCATCAGCATGACATGTCCCTATCTGCCTGACCCGACTTCTGTTCATTCATCAAGGACTACATAAAGCTGAGACAGTCCGTTCAATACCCCAGGACTGATGTCCAAGGCAGCATCTTCCACATTTTCTTCCAGACGGACCTCTTGACACTGTTTCCAACTGTAAGAGGCAGGTACTAAGTGCCTCCGCGTATCTTACTGGTGACTGTTCTGTGGTACACAGATAGCTGTAGTATCTGTTGTCTGAACAGCTCATCTGATCAGGAAAAGCAGCTGCCAGATAACTGCCGCTCTGTATGTGTAGGTACAAAAAATGTGGGGAATGAGTGTCGGGTGGAAGTGGGGCATCTCGCGCGTCCCCTCTGGGCATCAGCTGGAGCTGATCAGTCCTGGGCCCCATGGGGCTGGTTGTGGAGAGCGTGCTCTGGAGTGACTGGCAGCGCTGATTCCAGGGAAATTATGGTGTCCTGTTTTCTGTGGTGTAACCCAGTTACTGATTGTAATCAGTGTTGGTGCATATACCAGCATAAGCAGTGCACGAAACGTTTTCTAAAATATTTAATTCATCCAGGCAGGTTATAAGAGATGCATAAACTCTAAGGCTGGGTGCTAGAGTAAGTGAACTGTCTTTTTAACTTTCTAGAAAATTGGATATCAGTCGTAAAAATGCCCAGTGCCCTGCCAGGCACAGATAAGTACCAGAGAAGGGTAGACAGGCAGTGGCTTTTGGCAGGACTGAGCTCTTGCACGATGGTGAAACATTTCTGAATTGGAGCTGTTTTGCAGTGATGATAAATGAACCATAATTTATTACAATAGCCTAGGTTCTTTTCAATGTGTGGTTGTTATGATACCTGAAAATGTTATGTACCTAAAAATATTTCCGTGGTTTTTTTTTTTTCCAACTTTTCCAAATGAAAAAGGGGAGGTGGTTAAATTTTTTTGTATAGTACAAAAAAGCTGCCCTTAATAATAAGTAAAGATTTTACCATAACTTTTTTTTCCCCTAAGATCTAAGTATTCTGTAAATTGAGTCTTTGTGTATTTTCTAGTATAATACATTGTTCTCTATAAAAGTGTACATTTTTGTTTATTCATGTAGTAAGGTGAAGTCTTTGAAGGTTTAACTGACATCAAGATAAGCCTGATTATGAAATAATTTCCTCTGACATACAACTATTAATTATTGGTCAATGGATTAACACTTGGAAGCATATAATGAGATAAGCAAAATGTTATTCTGCTACCAAAACTCTGCACAGATAAATAGCTTAACTACGTATGTCCTATATTTCTGTTTGTCTGCCAGTTGCGTACAAGGTGACAACTCACTGTATTTAAAAATGACATTTACTGTGGATTTTATTTGCATTTCCCCGATCTTGCGTTGTCATGGACTTTACTCTGGCCCAAGTTAAGCTATTTCTGCAAAATCTTTGCAGTTCATAATCTCATCTGTAGCATTTCATGACTCTGTTTTAATTTTTCCTTACAGCTCCAACTGTAAGTTCAAACTTCTTCCTAGCAATTCTGACAAGCATGGAGGTGGTGATCACGTGGTGCTCTTGTTTTAGTCAAGATTTCTAGTTTCACCATTTTTGCAACCAGTGATGTTGGTTCCAGGGTTCTTGTGCTTTATCTGTAGGACAATTTCTAAAGAAGTCTGTGAAATTCTAGATATTCTTCTGCAGGATTTATGCTGCTTCCGCGCGCCAATAAACGTGTGTGGCCCAGAAGGGGTATGGGTAGTTCTTAGCTCTAGAGTGGCGTCTCATCTGTGTCATCTCCTTCGTTCTGCTCCTTTATTCGTGCTCTGAGTTCTGATGATGCTGTGTGCTCGCACAGCATGTCTAGCAAGGACTTTCTAAATGATTTGCAAAGGAAAAAATATATGAATGGATCTAGGCAAGCATTTAGCGATGTCAGCCACAGCGTGCTCTCTTTCAAGTAAAACAAGGTGTTCTGAGCAAAGCATTCAAAAACGTCTCTTGTTTGGCTCAACGTGTAGGGTATTCTAGTAAAGTGGAACGGCACGAAACAAATAAAGAACACTGCGATAATGATGAAAACCTTCAGATTTACCGTCTTTTTGGATGCCTTTCCTGTGCATCTTGTTCTTTTATAGGATTTGTACAGTTCTTTACTTATGAGTATGTAGCATACAACTATGACTGCTAAATTAACCCAGAAGATAAGTTGACAAATATAGTTTACGATTTCATGCCAGACTAAGCCAAACTCGGATTTCAAGAGAGCACACTTTTTTACGTTCTTAGGTGTTTTCTTCTTGTTCGTTAGAATCATGTTGGGTAATGAAAGAGCAAACATTGATATCCAAATTGCTGTGGACAGGATCTTGGCACCTAAAAGACTCCTTGGTGTTGATGTTCTGAACGGCGAAGTGGCTTTCTGATAGCGATCGATAGTTATTAGACCAAGAAACAAAATGCTAATGTACATGGTGAAGTAAAATACAACCTGGGTGACCTGGCAAACAAACCCTCTCAACACCCACGATACCAACTTTGCATCGCTAAGGATTTTAAATGGAAAAGTCAAAATCATGAGGAAGTCAGAAATGACAGTGTTCTTGAGGAAGATGATGAAATTGGATTTACTGGATATTTTAAAAAAGACCCACATTGCCAGGCCGTTCATGGTGATGCCCACCACAAACAGAATTGTGTAAAGCAAAGGAAAAATGACTTGACTGATTTTATTATCGCTGGTGCAGTTGCTGTCGTTTCTAGAGTAGCTGAAGTTGGTTGTGGCTTTCATTTGCACTTTGTCTTTTCCCCCCCTCCCTGTAAAAACAAAAAAGAAAAAAATGAAATTGTGAGTTATATCTGTCATAAGACTTCAACCTTTTTAGTCTTTTTTAATTTTTGTGTTGGGAACATTTCTTTGGGGATTTTGACTGCTGTAAGTTATATTTTATTTTACCGAGGATGTCAGGTTTCTACAGGAGAAGAGCGCTAGATGTAGCCATGTTTGTAAAGTGGCCTGGTTTGATCTTCCGTGACTTGAAATGCTGAGGTGACCTTCCATCCTAACCTCCTGAGCTTCCATCCTAACCTCCTGAGCTTCCCACACGGCTTCCCCAAGACCCGAGAGGAGCTGGTGAGGGGGTCTGCGTGGGGCGGAGGGGCTGTGGTGGCACACTCTGCCGGCGGCGAGGCCGTTGTGCCGCACGCGGGCCTGCTGGGCTGCGATTTCGCTCATCTGACACACGTTTGCCCAAACTGCCTCTCTCCTCCCAGGGAGGAGGGAGAAACGTACCTTTCTGCATCTTCCTCAGTGTGGAAAGGGATAGCATTTCAGCTTGTTTTGACTGCAGATTTAACAGTGCCAGCCTGAAGTAAAAGGAATCAAATGCCCCTTTTTATTGTATTTCTGCTTGGCTGGCCGTCTGTCTCTCCCAGTGGCGTCACTTCAGCCTCGCTTTTGGTTGTGCTTGAAGCTGATCTCTGCCTTCCCCTCCCTCTGCTCAGACCCGGGGGTAGCTGCTCGCAGGCTGCTGCCATTTCACTCGGGTACTCAAAGGGTGGATGTGGAACCCAACAAAGTCACTGTTTGTTGCTTCCAAGGGGAAGAAAGTGAGAGAGGAGTTCCTGCTCTTCTACCCTACGTATGAACGCTTGGACAGCTAGCGGTGTCTGTTCCTTCAGTGGTTACACATTTGCCAGCAAAGTCTGAAGTTATTTGTAGCTTTATTTATGTAGGTATTCATGTATACCTTTACTTATAGTTTGACAGTTTATCCTGTCATTTTCCTGAATCAGTTGCTTTACTGGTGCTGTGTTGCAAATAAAGTTAAAACTTCAGTTTTAAACTTCACTGACTTGAGCCGACACGCAGGAGTTGCGCAGGAGTTGCAGGCTCCTGTGCTCTGCAGTGAGCGCCTGCGTGAAGTCGCTGAGACTTCCGCGTAGCGCTGCGCCCCTCTGAGCCCGCTCTTACCACAAAACCAAGAGCGCGTCGGCCAGCCAGTCATCCACAAGCACTGAGCGGCCGGCATCCGCGTGACTGGTAACGGGCTGGGCTGAAAACTGTTGGTCTTGATCTGAGCAAGGTTTTTGGACTAAGTCTGATCCAAACTAACCAGTTTGGGAAACTAACCTGGGAAAGCCAGGCAGGTATGTTGAATCAGTCAGTCTTGCATTTCAAAAGGACTAACTTTCAGGTGTGTAGTGATGCAATTGTAAAAATCGCTGTATTTCTGTATGATCTCTGCCTTTGTAAAATAAGGCACTCAGGGGAGTAGATGCTTTGTCAGCCAATGCGCAAACATCCCTGACATCTTCCTTACAGAGCTGCAAAGTTTTATTTCTGTCTGTAAGATAGAAATAAATTGGCTTATGCTTTGAAGCATGTAACAGATTCAGCTGCCAAGTCTAGTCCTAATGAAGGAAGTATTCCCTAAGCATGCAAAATCACACACCTTCCCCCCACCCCAAAATCAAACAGGAGATTACCGTAGTGTGCTGTTGAGAAGCGATGAAACACTTGGGTATTTCCTACGATGGGAAGCTAGTGTTGCTGAGGGAGGGTCGTTCGCAGTTCCTCCAGGTCTTCACCATGTGAGCAGGCAGCGGTGTTCATGTGTAAATCCCACAGAGCAAGGAGAGGCTGGAGGAGCAGCTGTGCATCCCGGTTCTGAGACTTAGACCTTCCTCTGGCTTTGAACTGGTTTCTTAGCCAGAGACAGCTGCAAATTCCAGGTGACGCTCTCAGTGCTTTTGCTTTTGTTTCCTCTAGAAGAGGGAGAGAAATAGAATTTTTAAAAATGATTAGAGGTTTACTTCCTGCTTTTGACCTACTAACAGAGTCACTATTTTTAAAGGAGAGCATGTGTTTTGTAAGACATTGCAACTTTTCTGAGCGTAGAGTTGCACTCCTGTCTACTACCTTTTTGCCTTGTGATTCTTTAATATTATTTTTGTATACAGCCTTATTTTTTAAAAACTTTTTAAGTAGTTGGAAGAAGTAATGATTGGTTAGTTTGGAGAAGGTAAGTATATTACTGAACAAAATATTTATACCTTACATGATTTGCAGAGCAGTGCTCCAAGTCTTTAAGTTATATACAGTGCATCAACATTATATGATACATTTTATTAAAAGACTAAATATAACCAGTTACAATTTAAATAAACTATATAGAATTTTAGGAGTTGGGCTGCATCTTTTTTTCAATGGACTTGTACATAATAAGAGAAATGTCACACAGTTTCTAGGCATCTGTCTTCTCTTTACTAATCTGCTACTGAATATCAATCCAGGGGACAGTTAGGAGGGTCATCCGTATGTGTCATCTGACTCTGTCCTTATAGATAGATACAGAATTCGTAGTATCAGATTACATTTTTTCCCTCTGTATTTTTACTCTACTCTTTAGTGATTTCATTTGGCACTGTTTCCTCCACACTGATAACCACCGGAGATGCTTTTTGTGACGAAGAGTTAGTTATTGTTTATTGCAGACTGGGCTACTCGGGTTGGGTTTCTGCAGGTGATGACAGAAAAAAGAAGAGAGACTTCACTCGTATCTGGTCTTTTCAGGATGAATCTTCAAGTCATGAGTGTAACCAGCGCATGATTCTCCTTTATGGTGTTGGTAAGGAGCGTGATGAAGCAAGGCATCAGCTGAAGAAGATTACCAAAGACATCCTCAAAATTCTGAATAAGAAGAGTACTACTGAAATGGGTGGTAAATGCTTTAACGCCGCTGTATGGTAGCTTGTAGTGAAGATCACGGGAGCCGTGAGGTGCTCAGCAAGTTGTCTGGAGGCATGCATGTTGATCACATAATTTGGCTTTCATCCCCTTCACAGTCACTGGGTGAAGTACTGACCAGAGTCCCGCAGCACAGAGTGCAGTCTGCTGGCCTGCCTTACGGCTGCGCCAGGGCGGCAAAGGGCCACTGTGGTTAGAAATCCCTATTTTCCTTTATAACAACTTGGCTGTAAAGACTTGCATTAGGCTAAAGCCTGGAATATGAGATACTGGCCAGCGAGTGATACGTATTCCTTACCCTCTGAGTAAAACTGTGTGACTGTTTTTCAGTTTTTCTTGGATGTCACCTTTTTGTATTGGAATAACCTCGAAGTAGCTTTGATATTGTTACATGCTGTGGCGTATATTTGTCCCAAGCTTAATGGAAAACTGAGGCAAGTAGGGTTTTATGTAAAGCTTATTAAGATTTTTATTGTCTTTTAAATCAGTGATAATGCAAAACTACTAGGGTGCCATTAAATATAAAATGACCAAAGTAATTTTTTATCTGTTAAGTTGGGGATGAAGGGCAAAAAGCCAGGAAGACCAAACAAGAAGCATTTCCAACGCTAGAGACCGTGTTCACAAAACTACAGCAACTGTCCTATTTTGATCAACATCAGGTGACATCTCAGGTAATTCCCTTGTATAAAATCATAGTTTTTTACGTTCTGCTGTAGAGATACCAAATAGGAAGCAAATCTAGGTTTCTAGAAGTGTTTTGTATATACCAAGAATTTTCAGTGCGCTGCTTCTTCAAAGGCAAGAGAAAAAATGCTGCCTTGGTATTCTAAAATACCTGCTTCAGTAGATATTTGGGTGTTTGGTTTGTTTGTTTTTCAAGAAGCTTTCTGGGTTATTATTGATGTCATGATTATGATTTTTTTAATGAAAAATTTGAAATAAATTTTACATAAATTTCCATTAACAGCATTGTCTGGGGCTCGTTGGTAAATTAGATACTTATTAACCAATCTCTTGCATGTGTATAAGATATGTTACTCTATCTGTGTTTATGAAGGACAGCTGAGTATGTCTCTTTGAGAAGCTGGTGGATAATACAGTTTGTTCTTTTCTGGATATTAGAATTTATAGTCAACCTTTACTGTTAAAAAGCTGTATTGGTGGCTGACTGGAGAACATAAATAATTTGTTTTAAATGACAAGCCTGGTTTTCCTGGTTTATATTAGGACTTGTAAGTGTGCAAATATATCAGCATAGGATTTCATCATTTTGTCAGGTGTTACTGTTTTTAAGTATATTTTAATAACCAGAGGCTAACATAAGAAACAAAGTAGAAGAGGTACATGTTTGGTACTTAATTTGTAAGACATCTTTAGATCTGGTCTTTTAAATGAATTTATTACGTTTTGTTTGCAGGATAGCGTGCTATTAATTATCTGAAAACCATCAATTAAAAAATCACAATGCAGTAAGATGAAAAGAAAAATGATTCTGCCTCTTCTTTAAAGCAAAATACCCCACAGAATAAAAATCAGTATTGTAGATGTTAAGAACCATTTGACTCTCAGCTGAAAGCAGCAGAACAGCATTTTCTGTGTTGTCAGTTTTGAAAATAAAATGGCATTATGACTGAGTTGCAGGATAGTAGAGTAATAGATATACTCATGCATAATTTGTTAGCGCTTTTATCTGCAAAATGCTATCACTTGCTATTACCACTTACAAAATAGGATTTTTGGAGCACTAGTGTATCTGAGAAGCCCTCAGTCACCATATGACTTTTCAACATTTATTTTCACAGATCTCCAGTAACGTTCTCGAACAGATAACTAGTTTTGCCTCAGGAACGTCATACCATCTTCCCTTGGCTCACCATATACAGCTCATCTTTGATCTCATGGAGCCAGCACTGAATATCAATGGACTTCTAGACTTTGCAATACAGGTGAACAGAGTTCATTTTTTGGGGGGGTTATGTCAGGATAAAGCTGTGATACATTTTCTGTGAAACCAGAAAAAAACCAAGACCTGGACTGCAGATTCTCTTGATTTGCTGCCGTGCACTTTTATCTGTTTCAGTTTCCTGACCTCTGAAACAGAGTGCCAGATACTTCCCTTCTGTCTTACTTTGACAATTACAGAGAATCAATAGATGTATTTTATTTTTAAATCTTTCAAAATTAATAAAATTCTGGATTATTTTAGCACAAAGTATTTTATGATGGGCTTCACTGTTTCAGACTGAACCATCGTATTACACAGTAAAGTATCTGGGTGCCAGAAATGCCACATATTTCTGAAGAGCAGTTCTGAAGGACGTTTTTTATACTTTGACAGTTTATTTTGCTCTCTTTCACTTATTCTGTAGTGAGTAGGGGATTTCGTTTTTGTTTGCCATAATTTTTCCATAATGTATTTTTTTTCTGCACCTATTTTACATGTTTAACTTGGAAGTTATTTTCAATTCATTGTTTTTGTGTATGCGTTTTCAGCTGTTGAATGAGCTGAGCGTTGTGGAGGCAGAGCTGCTGCTGAAATCGTCCAGCCTGGCAGGAAGCTACACAACGGGGCTGTGCGTCTGCATCGTCGCCGTTCTGCGGCGTTACCATGCCTGCCTCATCCTCAACTCGGAGCAAACCGCACAAGTGTTTGAAGGGTTTGTGGCAGCTACAGTTTTCCAAAAAGTATTTTTGGTGTTCTCTCTTAAGCAAAAAATGCGTTCAGATTCAGGTAGTGAGACCAACTATCGTACTGCTATTGGAAGGCTGTAAGTGAGCTCAGGTGAGTGGAGCGGATGGCTCACCTCTGCAGCCCGCTCCCCACTGCCAGGGGCTGGTGGGACCTGCATGCTTTGTAACCTAGGAAAAGGGGGGAGTTCTGTATCTTGATTTCCTACCCATTCGCCCCATTCTGCCCTGGGCTCCCCGAGTGCCTCTGTGTCCTGTCTTCCCTGGGGCCCAGGGAAGCGCACGGGTGACACCAAACTTCACATGAGCCCCATCAGCCTGTAGATGCAAGGTCTGTCATCACGTTGCCCAGCTAATGGTGAGGTTTACGTGATATGTAACAATACGAGACACACTTCTAAGGTGCTTTGGAATGAACTCAGAATGGTTTTATTTTTGCAGGTTGTGCGGGGTGGTAAAGCACGTCGTTAATCCCTCAGAGTGTTCCTCCCCAGAAAGGTGTATTTTAGCTTACCTCTATGATCTGTACGTGTCCTGTAGTCACCTGAGAAGCAAGTTTGGAGACCTCTTCAGGTGGGTGGTAATGGGATT